GACTCCCACTACGGCCACCTCGACAACCCTAACTAGCGTACCACGCACGAAGCTGTTGGGGGGTGAGGGACTCAGGCGGGCGACGCTGGAGCTGCACTTGGCCACGCCAGGAGCAGCAGTAGCAGTAGAAAGAGCAGCAGCAGTAAGAGCAACAGTAACAGCAGGACGGGCAGGGCAGTGCTCACCTATGGCAAGAAGGGCAGGCGTACAACGGCGGGAACGGCGAGGCCACTACCACTGTAGAGTGAGAGCCCCGCAGCAGCTACAGAGGTGGCTGCTCCAGGGGCGGCAGTTGTAGGGGCGGTTGCTGCAGCGGCGGCTGCTCTGGGGGCGGCTGCTGCAGTGGCGGCTGCTTTGGGGGCGGCTGCTGCAATGGCGGCAACTCTAGGGGTGGCTGGTGCAGTGGCGCCTGCTCCAAGGGCGGCTGCTGCAGTGGCGGCTGCTCCAGGGGCGGCTGCTGGAGTGGCGGGTGCTCCAGGGGCGGCTGCTGCAGTGGCGGCTGCTCCAGGGGCGGCTCGGCTGCTGGGCGACTTGGCAGCTCAGCTCCTGGGCGGCTCGGCGGCTCGGCTGCTCGCTAGGGGCGGCGACGGGGCCGCTAGGGGCGGGGAGCGGCGACGGGGCCGCGTAGGGGCGGCTACGAGGCCACGTAGGGGCGGCGACGGGGCAGCGAAGGTAGGGAGGCGGCAACGGGGCCGCTAGGGGCGGCGACGGGGCCGCGTAGGGGCGGCTACGAGGCCGCGTACGGGCGGCAATGGGGCCGCTAGGGGCGGCGACGGGGCCGCGTAGGGGCGGCGACAAGGCCGCGTAGGGAGGGAGGAGGCCACGGGGCCGTTAGGGGCGGCAACAGGGCCGCGTAGGGGCGGCGATGGGGCCGCTAGGGGCGGCGTCGGGGCCACTAGGGTCGGCAACGGGGCCGCGTAGGGGCGGCGACGGGGCCGCGTAGGGAGGGGAGCAGCGACGGGGCCGCTAGGGGCGGCGACGGGGCCGCGTAGGGGCGGCGACGGGGCCGCGTAGGGGCGGCGATGGGGCCGCGTAGGGAGGGGAGCGGCGACTGGGCCGCTAGGGGCGGCAATGGGGCCGCTAGGGGCGGCGACAGGGCCACATAGGGGTGGTAACGGGGCCGCATAGTGGCGGCGACGGGGCCGCGTAGGGAGGGGAGCGGCTACGGGGCCGCTAGGGGCGCCGACGGGGCCACTAGGGGCGGCAACGGGGCTGCGTAGGGGCGGCAACGGGGCCGCGTAGGGAGGGAGGCGGTAACGGGGCCGCTAGGGGCGGCGATAGGGCCGCTAGGGGCGGCGACGGGGCCGCGTAGGGGCGGCAACGGGGCCGCGAGGGGCCTGGAAGGGCGGCGACGGGGCCGCTAGGGGCGGCGACGGGGCCGCTAGGGGCGGCGACGGGGCCGCTAAGGGTGGCGCGAGGGGCCGTGAGAGGGGCCTCTAAGAGAGCTCGAGAGAAGGGCGGCCCACAAGGCGCCCCTCGGGCACTAGCGATTTTCGCTCCGGTTAGAAAAAAATAAGGTTTCAGTGGTGGGCCCAAGGAACCGTTCCCACTAGGGAACCTTCTCTATACCATGTGAAGAAATGAGGAATGGATGAACTAGCAAGCAGGTGGGTACAAGTAGGAAAACCTATAAGTGTTGTACCCCATATTGTCTACCCCACTATAGCCTACACAGACTATAGCATAAGAGTTTGACTGTCCACACGAAGTCGGCACGGCTTTAACGCGCACCAGTGGCGAACAGCACCGCGAAAGGACCATGAAGGTCAGAAGATGAGCGGCGCGAAATTCCGCCCACAATTCAGGGTCATCTTCGTACGGCGTCTCCACCTTGCCGTCAACGAACTTCTTCAATCCAGTGATCTCCAGCTGGGGTTCGATTGACTCTATCCACGTGATCAAGTCATGTCGTCCTTCGAGCGGCTTCGGTACAGCTATCTTGTCCGGCGAAAATTTGAAGTAGCCGTACGCCGGCACGATGCCTCCGTCGCGAACAGCCGGCACATGAGTCGCTAAAGTCGGCCTGGCTCCACTCCGCTGAGTAGAAAGGCGACGACCATCGATGTTGCCGTTCGAACTTCCCGCTGCCGTCAAGCGCTGAACTCGCGCCTGCATTCCGCGGACGCCAACGTCGGCGGCCCGAATCACTCCACGAAGCCTCATGCTGCCTTCGGTGCGTTCGTCGACCTGGTCATCAACGCCTCCTTCGTTGTGTGCCGGTCGAGGAGTGGCGGGCTGACCATCCGCCTTAGTACGGGTTGTTGGGTGATCGCGCGCCCACTGCATGCGGGTTCCAAAGAGCAGAACATCCAAGTTCGCTCCGCCGTACTCGCCAGCTGCGTGGCGTGCCCGAACGTCATCTAACCGCGCCTGCAGGGTATCCTCTACGCCTGCAGCGACCTCCTCCTGGTCAGCTATGGCGGTCTAGACGTTTGCCAGCCTACAACAACTTAGGTAAGTAACACAAAGGTCATCTAATCTCAAGGTTCTATCACGGGGCCGTTCCATGCTCACCGCACCATGCTGAGAGTCACCCTACAATGGGAGTGGAGTAAGAAGGAGAGCACGGAGTTGTGTGGGTGATCGTAGCGTGTCAGAATGTTATCTTATGCTCTAGCCTGTAGTGGGGTGCTCTATAGCGAGTACAACCCTTCTAGGGTTTGCTATTTGTATCCTCATTCTTGCTAGTGCAGCCCTCTTCTCTCTTCTAAATTTTCTCATGCTATCAGAGCAGGTCGATCCCCTTGGATCGATCCTGTGGGTGGGCTTACCACCTCCTTGCTTCCGCTGCAACTACCTCCACTACTCTCTGAGCCGCACGCCCCGTGGCGTGCGGCACTTTCAGAAGGGCGACATGCCTGCCAGCGCTGCATTCGCAGGTGAATATCTGCGTAGGTGTGCACATGCCGAGTAGGTGCAGGTAGACGGTTACACCGTCAGAGACATTGCGCAACTACCAGGTAGAAAACGCTCCAACGGTTTCGTCAGATGTCCACCGTCGAGCATGTGATGCCTTTTCGTAGGTCGAATTTCGCTAGGAGCCACCTAAGCAAATTTCGCATGCCGTTGCATAGTTTCGCAGTCGCGCGAATTCGGCCAGCCAGTTCGCCGAGATGAGACTCGCCGAATAGTGCCCTTCGATCAGAGAACGCGGCTCCTCGGAAAGCACCCTGTCCATCAGTGATCGCGCGACTCAGAAGCATATCAAAAGACGAGCTCATCGAACAGCACCCCGTCGACCAGAGCTCGTTGATGGGCTGGTGAATCAGAGGACAACCTCCTCGAAAACCACCTGCGGTTTCAGAGGACGGGCTGATCCAATGCGATGATCACTTCGTCAAATTCACCACGTCGTAGCAAAGAATGCATGCGCCCAAGCGAGGGAGGGTCCTTTCAATCCAACATTGTCGTTGTCATGCGTAGAGGTAAGTGCAAGAAGCTTTTCCTCCAGTGATACATCGAAGCTCCCTGCTACAAGAGTGACCGTCTTATTATCCTTCACTTTCTTTCCTTTTCATAGGAGCGGTAGAGATAGCAGAACGCTTCAGCACTAGAGGAGCTCGTTCCTTCAGAGGCGCACGCGGCATGGCGCTATGATGGGTGATATCTAGCAGTTGGAAACGTGTAAAGGCCAGAAATGCCTGAAGCGCTGGACACATGAGCCCTGAATAATATAGCTGTGTTGTTCCTCCGGGTCAATCCAATATTCCTGGTGTATCGCTGACATAACCAAATGATGTTTGCCTGTAGCCTTGATAATTTCATGAAATAAGAAAAACAAATCACGACCTCGCTATGAGAGCTCATGGAAAGCACAGTAGACTGATGTCAGGATAGCAGTTAATAAAGCGTTGAGATTGTTTCGACGAAAGAACCTGATCAGATGTCAGAATCCCAACCACTAGACCGTTGGGATAAAAGGGCTTGTTAAGTAGCAGGTCAGTGCGCCCATAACCCCCCAGGACAACGAGCCTGTAACCCTTCCCTAGGATCAATCGGGGATCACCAGTGGACCTCTGACACCCCCCCGCACTGGGATGCCCGAAGTGCACACACCGGGATTCGAACCCGAGACCGCTTGATTGACATTGTAAATTTCATCGCTTGATCAACGGCCCATATTCCAACTTCCATTTCTTCCGTCAGATCGAGAGCAACCTTCATCGACGGTCGACATTCCAACCATTTCAGTTCAATATCGCCAAGGCATTCCAGCCGTCAGATTCAGCTACACTGGAGATCGACGGCTACTTCATTATTGAGCGACTCGTCTAGTTATGAGGCGGTCATGTTTGGAAAGTGGGAGAGTGTAAGGAATTCAGATTTCTTACTGTAGTCAGTTATTAGCGAGGACATCCCGAGGTTCACGCGACGAACCTGTTCGGCCTATTTCGTCGGCCGAACCATTCCTGACTCGGCCCCCGACCCGATCGCAACCATCACCGAGCCTTCTTTTCCCGACCCCTCGCCTAGCTAGCTTTCCCCTATTTAGGCTTCGGCACTTCCATTGTATCGTCATTCTGTAATTTTCACTCTCATTTTTCGTTATTCTGCGCACTCTGCAAGCTCATTCATAACAGCCATACATTCTGTTACGGGTAGTTTACTGTTCATTGGTGGTTTACCCCAAACAGTGCCCCAACCCAATTCCAGCCTTATCTTCATCCAACCAATCCCTTTGGGCCCACTAGATTTCCCAACCGCCAACGCGAACGCGTATTGTCAGACCAGGACGGATGCTGAAGCCGAAGCCATAGACCTGCAGGCTTCTCCCCGTACTGACCGTCCCGCTCCTGCACGCCGCGCGTGTCCCGTTCAATCGGCACATTTGAGAATCCTCAAGGTCGCTCCTGCGACGCGCACGTCCAGAGATGGCTGTGGATGCGGATTGGCGCTCAGGAGTCCGTCACCAATGGCTGTCGATAGGTATTGGCGGGTTCGTCGTGCTGCTGCTCGTGTGCGCGCCGCTGCTGCTCGAGCCGACTCGCCAGCTCCCCATCATGCAAATACCGCCCGATCCCGCCGCTGCCTCCGCCACACCGCTCAACCACTACCCGGAACCAGGAGCTATGGCGCTTGCGTCTGGGCCGGAATCAGGAGCTCTAGCGGCTGACATCGCCATCCCGCAGGTGCGCGTTGCAAGCAATGCACTTCACGTGTAATGCACCCCACTCCCGCCATGCCAGCTGTGCGCTGATGATCTGTGCGCCATGACCCCGCGCCGCGAACTGCCTCGCGCGCCGCGAAGTAGCCGAGCTAAGTAGACGAGCTAAGGAGCCGCGATAAGTAGCCCGAGCTGGGGGATCAGATTTTTCCATCCGATTCGCGTGCTACATAGCCGAGTGAGCCAATCCGCTTGCCGTTGTGCCTGGCAGGCAGGCAGCGGCGAGTCGGATCTGAGCAGAGCGGACAATCCCGAGGGGATCCCGCGACTCGAGGGCAGGGAATCAACGCGACTTCCAGTCGATGCGTCTCAACACATCTGCTGGACCTCAGGTACACCCTCCCCCCTCAGGCCCTTAGGTACACCCTCCCCCCTCAGGCCCTTAGGTACACCCTCCCCCCTCAGCCCCTTAGGTACACCCTCCCCTCTCAGGCCCTCGGGTACACCCTCCCCTCTCAGGCCCTCGGGTACACCCTCCCCTCTCAGGCTCTCAGGTTCTACTACTCCTGCCCCCCGCTGCTCTTGGCCCCCGCTGCTCCCTCCCAACGCCGCTCCTCCCCCCCCCTGCAAGAAACAGCGAGGGCGAGGCAGGCAGGTGAGGCAGGAGGATATGAATCACCCGTTCTGTGTGCCCCCGATCCCTCACATGGCCCATTGTGGTCGCCAGCAGCGCCAGGAGCAGCAGCATCACCACGGCGAGTAGCAGCAGCAGCTTTGCAAGGGGCGGGGGCAGTTGGGAGAGAGGTGCTAAGTGTATTCTCTCCAATGTGCCCCCAACCACTCAGCCCCAATTTTTGTCACAGATGCCCTGATCAGCCCCACCACACGCGCAGCAGCAGCAGCAGCAGAAGGAGGGGGAGTGGCAGCAGCAGCAGCTGCCCCCTTGGTGCTTCTCAGGGAAATTGCGTGCAGCAGAGCAGAGGCAGGCGTAGTTGGGGTTCTAAGAGTACCCATGTGACCTGACCCCCAACTCCTCAACTCCAATCCCCCGCAGATGCTCTGGTCAGCCACACCACACCAGGAGGAGCAGCAACCGCAGCAGTCCCCTCAGAAGCCGCAGCAGCCCCAGCAGCAGCAGCGGCAGCTGGAAGGGGAGTGGTGGTGGGTGGCAGGGGATGCAGTGGGTGCGTGCAGGGGGTGGAGTGCAGCATACACGTGTGGGTCATGCCGCCTGCTTATTGGGTCTCGCCCTTGGCGACCAATCGGAGTGACGCGGACAGCAACGGCAACAACCGCGACACCGCCAGCAGCAGCAACAACAGCAGCAGCAACGATGAGAGCAGTTGGTTGAAGGACGACCTGACTCTCACTCTGAAGGGCCCGGCGTTGGGAAGTGGGGACGTGCAGTGCACCGACCCCCCTTCCTGCTCGCACTTCCTCATCTCCTACCGCCTCTGGGACGTGGGAGATTATAGGTACGCTACATCTCCCACGTGGGAGATGTACTTGTCACTCACTTTATGCACTTGTCCTTGTTGGCAACGCTGTCTTTCTGCAAAGTGGACTGTGATACTCCCTTCCTTTCTCGCCACTCCAATAGTGGCCTTCCTTTCGTTCTCACCCTTTCCCACCCACCTCACCCCCTCACAGTCCCTATTTCGACCGGCTTACCCCCCTGCTCTCCCCATTCCAGTGCCACTTTCGCCGTGGGTTGTTCCAAACTCAACTTCTCTCTTCACTTCGTTTCTCACAATTCTAAGTGTTTCTCGCTCCCCCTTTCCCACTCACCCTTTCCCACTCACCCTTTCCCACTCACCCTTTCCCACTCACCCCCTCAGTCACTCTTCCACTCTTCTCACCTCCCTGCTCTCCCCATTCCAGTGCCACTCTCTCTGTGGGTTGTTCAAACCTCAACTTCTCTCCCGACTTTGCCGCCTATTTCAACTCCACCTTCCGCCATGACCTTGCCACGTGGAGTCTCTCTATTGGCTGGCCTGAGCAATCAGCTTCTGGGGGCGTTTTTGCATCTGCAGGCACTGATGGTGCTGCTGGTAACGGTGCTGCTGACATGGGCGCTGGGGGATCCGATGCTGCAACATCAGCTACAGCCGCCTCAAGTACCACCTCCCCCAGCAGCCTAGCCACGCCCTGCACACCTGGATCCATCCCCGGTCGCTGGAAGAAGGACAGCAGTGGCAATTACACGTGAGTGATCCCCTGTCACCCACTGTCACCCCCTCTCACCCTGCTGTCACCCCCTCTCACCCTGCTGTCACCCCCTCTCACCCTGCTGTCACCCAGTGTGAGGCTGGAATTGAGTGAGTCACCCCCACTGGCGTGACGTCCGTGACGAAAGACCCACTTATTCCAGTCCCATTCCCACAACGGCCATTCTCCCTCCTGCATCTCTTTTGCTAATCTCCCCTTCACTCCTCCCCTCCTCCCTCTCCCCTCCACTCTATCCCCTCTATCACCTCCCTTTTTTAGAATTCTCAAAAAACACTCTCCCTCCCCTCTATCACCTCCCTTTTTTTTAAATTCCCAAAAAACACACTCCCTCCCCTCCACCCCCGCCCCTCCAGCTGGACGTTCTTTCCCTGTGCGCCGCCATTGTCGCCTCCCAGCCGTTGGATCTCGGATCTACGGCGCAAGGGCATAGAGGAGATCAACATAGTGGGGAACTCGCACCAGAGGGGGCTGGCCAACCACCTGCACTTCCTGCTCTCGGGGAGCACGGGGAACACAAGGCCCGATCCCCGCTTCAACTACACCTTCCGCTCCAGCAATGAAAAAGGGGAGACGTTCAGAATCAACTTCTATTGGGTTGATGGGATCTACCGCAACGGGGAGTTTCACTGCGGGTGAGTGTGCGGAGGTGGGTGGGTGTGACAATGGGTGGGTGTGACCATGGGTGGGTGTGACCATGGGTGGGTGTGACCGTGAAGTTATGCCATCTCAACTTTCTTCTCCCACCTCCCCCACCTCTGAAACCCTTGGGCATTCCTAATCCTCCACCTCATCACAGCACATCAGCCACAAGCATTGGGAGTGTGAAGCTGGAATGTGGAGCTGGGATACAGGAGCCTAAACCCCTCCTCTTTCTCTTCATTCCCACAGCTCCACATTCGCCTCAGCTGACGTCACTGACTGCTATAAGAACAATCATTGATAATCCTGAACCCCTCCTCTTCCCCTCCACCTTCCGTCCATTCCTGCCCTTCCCCTTCCTTCGAACGCCCCAACAGTGACAGAGGCATAACCAGCAACCGCCCCAACACATTCCCAGACATCCTCTCTCGCACTGCTGACGTCACCATTATGAACGCCGGCTCCTGGACAGATAGGTATTGCGGAGAGCCAATCAAAGCCTTTCGAGCCCACCTCCCTGAGTTCCTCAACTGGGGGCTGCAGTTCGCCGCCCAAAATGGCAAGCCGCTGGTGCTGCGGACGGCAACGCCCCTCCCGAATGCAGGCCACCACTGCGCGCATTATACCAGCGCATCTGTCGGCCCGTCCACCAACCTGGGCCTCATGACTCTCAATCGAATCATGCGCAACGTGGCTGCTGGAAAGGGTTCTGGGGACAGTGACGGAAAGAATTCCCAATCCCAGCTGTCGGTGCCGTCAGTGCCGGTTTTTGACGGGTGGATGATTGAAATGCCTCGGTATCTGGACAATTGCCCCTATGGAAACCGGCATTACTCGTGCTTTTATGCACCGCACTTCTGGAGTAGACAACCGAATGCGGCTGGAGGGGTGGTAGGGGAGGCTGTAGTTCGTGGACTCATACATTTCATGCTCCATGAGTTGTGAAGTTGAGACATACTTGTACAGCAGACACTTGAGATAAATTTCACTATTTCAGTAGTTCAATAGTTGCAGTGCATTGTCGTGTCGGAGGAGTTCGTCAAATTGTATCGTGGAACTCCAGTGGATGCAAAGCACAGAAAAGGAAACTTACACTCAACATAGAAATGGCAATGCGGTACATGCAATACAGAGTGCGTGCCAATGGTGGTACAAAACAGGAGAACGGAAAATAAGAGTGATAATAACCAGGAGGGAGAAAAACCCTGTCAAACTATATACCGTCATCGCCCGGATATAAGACAGTGTTGAATAGTAGACAGGGGTTGTCTACTTACGGGTGTCTCTTATAAATAGGCTAGCCTTTTTATACGACACCTATTTGTGTGTACGAGATAAGACATATGTGTCTTATAATTGAAACTGCAATGCATTATAGCGAGAATTGAAATACCCCGTACATTTTTACCCTTGCGCCACGCAAATTCTGCCACGTGCTAACTCACGTACTACCAAATTTGCCTCTGCAAGTATTCGGGATGACGTGGCGTCCCAAACAATGGTTGCCGAAGTGGCACCTTCGCAACTTCCACACTCTTAATGAGAAACTCTTTTCAAGATGCGTGAAAATATTTCGAAGTAGTTTAAAAAACTTTCCATTTATAAGACTTATAAGACACCCAAAACCTCCCCAAATACAAGATAACACAAGCTTTTTTTTTTAGTGTATGAGATAAGACATATGTGTCTTATATCCGGGTGATGACGGTATATCCTATGGTATAATGGGTAGGCTATAGTGGGGTAGCCAACATGGGTTACAACCCCTTCTGGTTTTGTACTTGTACCAACTCTCTCCATGGTTTACATCATTCATGCTAGTTAATTCTTATCATGGTATCACAGCAGTAGGTCCGTAGGACCGTTTTTTTTTTTTTTTTCGGGCCCACCATTACCTAGTGATCGACTACGGTTACCACGTTACCCCACGCCCTGCCCTGCGCTGCGCTGTCAGCGCGCGCCCTGCCCTGCATTGCGCCAGCGCCTTGCCCTGCGCTAGCGCCCTACCCTGCGCCAGCATCCTGCCCTGCGCGTCGCGCCCTACGGCAGCTTGCGCGTCGCGATCTGCTGCCCTGCGCGTTGCGCTCTACGGCAGCCCGCGCGTCGCGTGCTGCTGCCCCGCGCGCCGTGCTCTACTGCCCTGCGCGTCGCGCCCTACGGCAGCCCGCCCGTCGCACGCTGCTGCCCCGCGCGTCACGCCCTACGGCAGCCCGCGCGTCGCGCGCTGCTGCCCTGCGCGCCGCGCTCTGCTGCAGCCCGTGCGTCGCGCCGTGCTGCCCCGCGCGTCGCGCCCTGCTGCAGCCAGTGCGCCGTGCCCTGCTGCCCTCCACAACGCGCGCCCTGCTGCCCGCACCGCCCAGGCCGAGTCGCGCCACCCGACACGATCCGCCCTTCTGCTCGTGCTACTGCTGCTGCTTGTTGAGGTGCTGCTAGGAGTGCTAGAGGTGCTGCAGCCTAGCCTGACGAGCCGCTCTGTTGTTCGTCTTACTGCTGCTGCTACTCGTACTACTGCCTTCACTCCGTACTGCCCTAGAGGTCGCGCTCCTCCTAGCTTGCCCGCCATGACTTCACTTTGTAGTTGTGGTGGGAGTGGTGACGGCGGTGGTGGCAGCAATGGGAGTCGTGGCGGCCGTAGTAGCAGTCACTGTGGAGCTGTGTGGTGTGGAGTCTTTGGCGGTGGCCAGATGTAGCTACGGTGGCGTCCGACCCTTACGCCTCAGCAGCTTCGTGAGTGGCTTTAGCACCGTGGGACATCTCCGAGTCCTGGTTGCTGTCCGTACGTCATTCGCACAGGTCGTCGAGCTGGTCAGACGTGTTGGACACCTGGTCACGCACAATCCCGCTGCTTCGCCTATTTGACTGACGCATGGCACGCAGAGTTCGGCAACGAGGCTGAGACCCCCAACTGGCTTGAGCTGCTTAGGTCGGGCGTTGATGCCTTTGCTTTAGACTATGACGTCATCCTTACTGCCATGTCTGCTTTGCCTGGTAGTGCTGAGAGTGACTGCTACCTGTGTGTGCAGTACGACCCCGGCAAGGGTTGCTGCTCTAGGTACTAGTGAGGCTGCTGCCTTAGGTGCTGGTGAGTCTGCTCTCTCATGTACTGCGCTTGCTCAGGCCTTGCACACCTTCACGCTTGACTAAGGTGCTTCCTGCTGCTTCTTTCGTGATGGTACCGCACTCACACCACTCCCTGCACCTGTTGCAGTCTCTCTGGCTGACCCCTCAAGGGGCCCAGTTCTTGCACCGTCCACCACTGTGCTTCCGTACCCGGCGGTTCCGTCTGGCACACTGACAGGTCTCCACCTCCCCTCGTTCTCTACAAACTTGGCGAGCAATGCCATCCTCCAGGATCATTGGGTTGACACCTATACCCTTGGAGGACAGCGTGTGGCGATCTGTATGTGCTCCAGGACTGGCCACGTTCACCCGTCAGCCAGGGTCGAGTCTTTACACAATGACGACTGTGTCTCCTCAAGTAGCTGCTGTCGGTCAGGTGTCTGCGTCAGGTCTGGTAGCCTCCCCCTGTGCGTGTCACTCCTTGTCGCACCAGACACTTCTCTGGCACCACCGCCTGGGTCACCCCTCCTTGCCACGTCTCCGTGACATGCACCGTCGCCTCCTTGTGTCTGGTCTTTCCAGGTCTCTCCCTCCCCTCCCTGCCTCGCCTGTGCCGCCTTGCCTTCCTTGCGTCGAGGGGCGGCAGCGCGCCGCTCCTCACTCCTCCTCGTTTCCCCAGATAGAGGCTCCTTTGCAGACCCTCCACCTAGACGTGTGGGGCCCAGCCCGCGTTCGTGGACAAGGCGGTGAGCGGTACTTTTTGCTGGTTGTGGACGACTACTCGCGTTACACCACGGTCTTCCCCTTGCGCACCAAGGGTGAGGTACCTGTTGTCCAAATCCCTTGGATCCGAGCAGTTCGTCTCCAGCTCCGCCGCAGGTTCCGCCAGGACCTTCCTGTCCTGCGTCTGCACTGTGACAGAGGTGGTGAGTTCACCTGCGACCTCTTGCAGGCCTTCTATCAGGGGGAGGGCATCCAGCAGTCGTTCACGCTTCCGGGATCACCACATCAAAATGGGGTTGCTGAGCGCCGCATTGGCTTAGTCATGGAGGTCGCTCATACCTCCTTGATCCATCCAGCGGCTCCCCATTTTCTGTGGCTGTTTGCGGTCTGGTACGCCGCGCAACACCTCAACCTCTGGCCCCGTGTCTCCTTGCCGATGACCTCGCCCACACTGCGTGGCGATGCGTCGCGTTTCCGGGTCTGGGGTGGTCGTGCCCTTGCCCGCGATACGTCTGCGGACAAGCTCTCCTCCTGCACCATTCCCTGTGTCTTCCTTGGCTTTTTCCTTGACGCGCTTGGCTGTCAAACATTATATATGTTGTTGTAGTTGTTTAGGCTACAGTGGGTTAGCCTATAGGGGGTACACATTCCTAGGTTTTGATACTTGTACTCATTTTCACCCTTAGTTCATTCATTCTTGTTCAACATGGTATAGAGCAAGTCCTTCCTAGGACCGATTTTTTTTTAGGGCCCACCACTACCTACCTACCTACCTGCGCTCTAGGGCGCCTCGGCTTTCACGCCCCTAGAGGCCCCGTCGGCCCCGCGCTCTCGCACCTAGAGGCCTCGGTCGGCCCCGCGCTCGCTTTTAGAGGCCCCGAATCGGCCCCGCGCTTACCCCTAGATGCCCGCGTCTGCCCCGCGCTCGTCCTTACCGGCCCCGATCGGCCCCGCGCTCGTCCCTCACGGCCCCGATAGGCCCCGCGCTCGCCCTTAGAGGCCCACGTCGGCCCCGCGCTCGCCCATAGCACCCACGTCGGCCCCGCGCTCGTCCCTCACGGCCCCACCCGCTCCCCGCGCTCGCCCTTAGCGGCCCTGAACGGCCCCACCCAGACCGAGCAGCCCGAACCGAGCCGACCCGAGCCGCCCAGCCCTAACGGAACCGAGCCGCTCGACCCGAGCCGCCAGCCCTAACCCAACCGAGCCGCCCGAGCCGAGCCGCCCGAACTGAGCCGCGCCGCCCGACCCGAGCCGCCCGAACCGAGCCGCGCCGCCCGACCCGAGCCGCGTCGCCCTACCTATACCGAGCCGCGCCGCCCTACCTGTACCGAGCCGCGCCGCCCTACCTACCCTACTGCTCGTACTGCTTTTCCTACTGCTGCTACCATGGCTAGCCCTCCTGTCCTAGCCTTCGATATTGAGGGCCGCCCAGTGAAGTTCGACACCTGGCTTGATGACCTACACCTCTTCCTACAGCTCACTGCCAAGGAAGACATCTCGCTGTACGATCATGCCTTAGGTCAAACTACTGCTCCTGCTGCTACTGCTGACAGCACTCCCCGCTCACAGTGGCAGACTCGTGACGCCCATACTCGCTTCGCTATTTGCAACTCTCTGCCGATAGATGAGCGCGAGCGCTTTGGGCAGCACAAGAGTGCACAGGCACTGTACACTGCTGTCGTTGCCCGCTACTCCTCGCCGGCCTCTACCGCTCTAGGCCGTCTCTCTCTTCCCTACCTGTTCCCCGACCTAGCTTCCTTCCACACTGTCGCTGATCTCATCACCCACCTCCGCACTAGTGAGGCTCGCTTCCGCGCCGCTATGCCTGATGAGTTCCTTGACAAGAACCCACCCCCGCTCTGGTTCACTCTCTACCACCTAGTCACGCGCCTCCCTGACACTCTGCGCTCAGTCAGGGACCACTTCCTAGCCCGCTGCCCCACCGAGCTCACCATTGCCCTCCTCGAGAAGGAACTGCTTGCAGCTGAGGCTAGCATAGTCGCTGTAGGTGCCTCTCGCAGTGACCCCCGTACCCCGTTCTTTGAGGGGTGTTCTCCCTCCCCCCTTCTTCCCTCTGTCGCCTCTGCTGCTGCTGTCGACCTCCTTGGTGCTGAGAAGGTCGCGGCTGCGTCTGCTTCAAGTGGGCGCCGCAACGGCAAGGG